GCAGGGGGAAAAGAATGGGACCACTCTTTTCAAAGTAGCTACGTTTTACACCAGCTTAGCTATATCAAAAGTCTACTTCAACATAGGATCCAACTGAGACATCTCTGTTCTAAGTAGTGGAGGATGGCAGAAGGCAGAAAAAAAGCAAGAAACCAGTCACACCTTACATTCTCAGGAAAAAAAGCTTTAAAACTCAAGCAAACCCTGCACTTAAATCCTGATTTATTATTATGATAATCTGTTGACATATACCAATATGGCCCTGAAGATGAACATTTTTCACAAGAAGTTCTCAATCCTGGAGGACCATGTAAAGTAACAAGACCAGAAACTGCACAAGTAATGTGAGACAAAAACCAGAGCAGTATGGGATAACAAATCAATTTTCCACATAATACAGACCGTCTAGTCTACCATATCACTTAACACTTTTGCATTTGCTTTAAGCCAGAAAATATAGATAAACAAGAAATTGGCAACAAATCAGAATATTCTTTTAGTTAAGAAAAAGGAAGCTGAAGAACTTGAAAATGACTTAAGTAAAACAGATGGAAAATTTGATGGTAGGTTAAAATGCTGCATAAAGGAAGTAATAATGTGAACTCTTAAAGAATAGAATCTAAATGAAATGCAACTTCTGAAGGAAAAAATAAATCAAAGGTGTCTTTAAAGTTGATTACATGAAAACTTTTACCCTTTACTCTTAGTGATTTGGTAAATGCGTACACAATAGAAAAGATACAAAATTACACACTGCTGCATTTGACAAAGAAGTTTAACCAGTAATTTCAGAAGTTAGGCAAGCTTTCCAAAGGACTTTAACCCATTTCATAGGCCTTTGTTTGCAGTAATAAAATACTTGGTTCCTTTCCAGATCACTCAGCAGAGGTCAAGCCACCATCCAAGTGCAATGTACAAACACACTGAAAAAGGAAGTTCCTGTCTTAGAGCTTTTTTTAGAATCACATTTTACTACTTAACCAAAACAAAAACAAAAAAAAAGGAGGGCTCAAAGCTGCTTCTGTCCTTCCTGAACACTAAAAAGAAATCTGAAAACCTGTAACACATCACCCCAACTTTCCTTTAGTGGTACTGTCCGCTCTAATTCACACAGCAATGAACTTCTGCAACTTTCCTCTCACTTTTGCTTTTTGAGAGGGTTACATGCATAGCTTGTAGTCCACCTGGACAATTAATGTCTTTCATATCTAACACACCTTTGTCAATGGCTATTCTCTTCCCCAGGGCCTCTTGGCCTAGTGAGCTGTGCTGGTGACAGTGGACTGTTCCTCACATAATGCCAGATGCATGGGAGAATTTGGGGTGTGCTCCCCTCACCCTAAGGAACAGCGAGTGGCTGTATTCCTTTCAACTCAGCTTGGTATTGTATTGAGAACATACGTTCCTCCCCAGTTCCAGTTGCGTTCACAAGCTCTTCTATGCTTGCTTGGTTCCTGTTGAGAATAAAGCTAAAGACACTTAACCAGACAACAGACGCTAATTCTCTGGGGTGTTAGGAGTGGATCTTTGATTTTATGAATCTGTGGTTTTTAATCCCATAAGCTACTTTGGGTAAGGGAGAGAACAGGTAACAAATAGAACTTCCAGTTCAGTCATTTTTTTTCCTGATGCTTTTATTTTAGTGCTAATACCATTGTTTTGAGATAAAACCAGCAGCACTATCTAACTTGAAGTATCAGCAGACACCCTTGTTCCTTGTAGGGCGACATACTGCAATCATCTTTGTATGGCCAGACAGCCTGCTGCTCGTGCAAGTTATTCACCTGAACTGGTACGTGCAAGGAGGGAGACGCTAATGCCGCTGTGCACACGGGTGCTGCTTGTCTGTCTAACAAGCGATATAATTCACTGAATTTTTTCTGTTTCTTCTCTTCCTGTACACCAGCCACCAGCCCGCCTTACTCTAATTATAACAACATAAGCAGCTAGATGTGTTTTTCTTGCTCATCTTACACTTTGAGCTTTGCATGCCTTTCTGCCCAAAATATCCTTTCTTGTGGCATTTATTCTCAATTATATCGATGCTGGACTTTGTTAGCTCAATAAAAACTGTAGCAACTATAGGGTGACCCAGAATAAAAAAAATACTAGAATTTACCAAGCAATGGTACTCCCCTGGTTTATGGTCAAATTTTGCAGAAGGTGAACAATAAATTCTGTCTTTTAGTCTTTCTAAAATTGCAAGACAACTCTCTAGCCTTGTGTGACTTATAAATTAGAATACCTTTACAGTTTAACTTCTTGTGTACTCTATTAAATATAACTTCCCTAAATATTATGAGTGTACTATGCCTAAAACATTTGCAATAAAATTTTTAAAATTAAATTTATTTATTTTTTAATAAATATTTTTAAAATTTTAAAAATTAAAAAATTATTTTTTTAATTCAAATTTGATGAAGGAAGCTTTCAAGAACCTTAAAAGTATCAGAACCTATTGTTAGACATGAGGCCAATCTTTGTCTTGCCTAGTTTTAAATAATATGCATTGCTTGTAGGTGCCATTAACAACCTTTCCCCAACATTTCAGTTCTTTGGTGGTGTTTTTTCTGTTTCGTTCATCCATTTCAGGATGGCTTCTATTAACTTTTAGTAACAGCTGATGGTCACGACATATTTAAAAAAAAAAAAAAAAAACAGAACCACAGCAACATTCATTCGGTGACCAATTCCCACTTCTTCCATATATCACCCATCTTTGACTTTTATGAAGTATATTATTCCATTGACTGTTTTCAAGGCCAAGCCTTTAAAATATGAACATTCAATACAATGGCTTTCTTTGTTAATAAATATACTTTGGATAGCAGTTAGTGTGCTGAAACCACTAACTCCCAGAGCAAATATTACTGTTATTTTATTCCCCTGGTGCCCCTGCATATTTGTATAAATATTTGCTGGTTGCCTTTTCTGAGACTGTAGGAACATTGGAACAAGAACTGCATCATGGCAGTTTGTCTCATAAAAAGCACAACTAGGTGCTACAATAGTACTAATATTTGCTAGTAATTGCAGTAATGGGATTTTCCTATGCATACAAGTGTTTCTTTCTCGTGTATACTTTTATTTTAAATGAACCTTTAAAAAAATTCAGGGCTGGGGAAAACAAGCAAAAGACAGATTAAATGCTGAAGAGTTTCACCATTCTGAACCAGGACTGAAAACCCAACACAAGTCACACAATTGAAAAGCAGTCATAGCAATCATCTCAAAATCAGGAACACTGTTTTAATATTAAGATTTTAAATGATTTTTTGAATATTACTTAAAAAAAACCCCAAAATCTAAATCAGCTTTAATTTTAAAAGTTGTCAAAAAAATTTTGAAGTGTAATATGTATCTTTCTAGAATTTTTCAAAATTATGCTTTCCAATTAGTGATTTCTGTTTTGACTATCTGGGGTTTTCCAATAAAAATGTTTTGATAAAAATATCCTACACCAGCTCAAGTAAAAAGTTATTTTTCAAAACACTGTTTTGTCTTCCTGACAGCATCATCCATGTGGAAGTAGGAAATTACAGAAAGTATATGTGGAGGAAGTGGGAAGTTTGGAAAGAGGGCTCCAAATGCCAGATCTATCATCTGTATTACTAATATGTCAGATCTGGTGTGTATGAAGATGAAGGTAATAATTTGATGGTTTTTTTTCAATTAATACCTCTCATGACATATGACTCCCAAGGTGGTGTTGAAAATGTGATGAAGTGTCCATTTAAGACAGGCGTGTTCTGAGTAAGGAGTAAAATGGGATCCGGAACCTCGAGAGCCCCACGCAGGGGAGGGAGGAAAGCATCGACTTACTACATTTTTAATGAATAGCAGTGTGAAGTTAAAAATAAAAACAGCAGGGAGAAGAGAGTAGCTTTAATGAACTGTGGAGAATGTGTCAGCTCAGGAAGCTTCAAGGCCAGGCTAGCTCTTGGAGACAGGGCTGTCTCTCTTGGCTTCTCTCTAAACAAAGGTCCACTCTGGCTATGCAGAATGGCAGAGCTGGAGCCTGGGCTTCCGTGAGGAAGATTCTGTCCAAGAAATCCTAAAAAGACTGATGTCAGATAGAAACAAAGTATTTTTCTTTTGCAACTTTGTTTCCAAGTTTTATAATCAGAGAATTACTGCATAATTTGGATGTTACCCCAAAAAAGTTGCAGATGAGCATAACTGCCTGCAAAGCCACAATAAATTTGGATATTTAGCATCCGTTTCCAGTAGTCTGCACAGCTCAGCTGGAGAACTGGCAGCAGTGTATCAGGACAGAGAGGGAAAGCCTGAGTTAATGTACTTGTACTAATATCCCTCCAGCAGCAGAATGTGGAAACATATTGAGTATTTTTGGGCAACCACATATTGTGACTATGTCCTTGGCTCTCCTTTTTTTGATCTACACCTTAAGATCTCATGAAAACATAAGTGTGAGAAAAATCTCATACTGCTGTCATCTCTAGGGTCAAGTCGATAGCTTTCAATGTTAGTTGCCCGGACAAATGCCTAAGAGCTGAAGGAGGTGGTGGCAGTTGAGGAAATTGTAACATCTCAGTGAAACAGATAAAGGCACCTCAGCTCTAATATTTTCTGTGTCACTATGATTCCTGTGCAGGTCTTCCCACTTCCACCTGATCCCTTGTAACTGGGCCCTGAGTGAAAGGTTGGTGGGAAGAATTCAATCATTTGTGGCTACTGATCTACCCAAGAAGGTCCTTTGTGTTCCAGTTTTTTTTTCTGAATGCCATGAGGCAAAAAACCAGGATGCCAAAGGCAGTGCTTATCAATCACTAGGAAAAACAACCTACTGCAAAACACATTAATTATCACAAAACCATCACACATGCAAACACACTCGTCTACCTCACCTACTCAGAAAACTCACACACTGGCACCTCTTGTGTTTGCCCCTCCAGCTTTGTTTACATCCACTGAGATTTACATTCCTTCTTTAGCCCAGGCAAAGGAAGAGATATTCCTGGCATCTGTGTGTACATTACCATGGTTACCTACTTCATCTGCAGCAAAATAGGTTGGTCCATGACCTGACACGACAGCTTCAGGAGCATACTCCTCCTTCATCCACTGCTTTTCAACCTTTCCCGCTTCAGCTGTTTTTTCATAAAATCTGAATGCAGGCAACAGTGGGGCATCCAACAAACTCTCAAAGTCTTCAACACATTTTTTGGCCTATATAGTTTGTCTCTAAGTGTGTTTTTTGGCAGGGCAAACCGTTGGTTTTCAAGCAATTTTTCCAGCAAGCCGTCATCAATAGCATACCTGCAGATTTTACCAGCTGCATTTTGTTCGTGTACACAGTATTACACTTGAAAATTTAGCCTCAAAAGCATGCTTGTGAGAATACCTGTGACTACACAACAACCTGGGTCTGTCAGGGAAGAACAAAAGTTTAGGGCACAAGAATGAGGACCATGAAGCTTTAAACAAGGGTCTCAGCTGGGTGGGGGGAGCAAACAGCTTCCTACTGCAAAAATAGTTTTTGTTTCATTGGTGTCACAAATTTCACAATACAAGCTGAAGAAACTGTCATCTACTGAGATAATTAGCAAACCAGGCATCAAACCTAAATAAGCTCTCAATATCAAATGAGGTATAAACAACAAAATATTGATAAAATATAATGAAGACAGAACGCAATCGAGGCAGGTATCTCCGCATACTGGCTCAAATTTTCACTGAAACAAAACCGATCAACTTTGGTTTTTAAGCAACGTCATTCTCATAATTTTTTTCCAGGCAATATTTATAACAAAACAGATATATATATATATGTATGAAAATAAATATGAAAAATGCCTATTCACATCATTCATCTATTCCCATAATTTATGTTTCTAATATGCATAACAAATCTGACCTATTTAAAGGAACTCAAAGCAATGATGTAATCTCTGGAAGTAGTACACGGGATATGTGTACCACACAATGTCAAGGCAAACGCAGAAGTGTCTTATGGTGATTCTGAAAACAAAAATACCAATGAAACTCTGTGAGGAAAGCAAAAGCTGGCAAAATTCAAAATGGCTTTGTAATCATATAGTTATATAAAATAAAGTTGTGAAGTTCTCCAGACTTGATTTAACATGTCTAAAACAGAGTGGGTAATCTGTTTACATCTGAACAGCAAAAAAAAAGTCAAATGAAAAATGTACACAAAAATGACCGACTCATACACATACCTTTTCCGTTTATTGTTAATGCTGATGCAATTGTGGCTGTTACTGGCACTGGCAATTGTGGCACTAATGGATGTATCCTTGGTCGGCTCCCCATCCTAGCACGCTCTGCACCAGGTCCTAATAAAGCTCCCACTGGTTTTTCTGCTGCTACTTCTGGTGCTACAGAGTCTTCCTGATCCTGCTCTATATGGTCCATTTTATCCGGGCTTTCATTCTGGAAGCCATCAACTGTTGTCCGGCTCTTAATTGGACTTTTGGGCACTAGAATTTTAATACCTGATTTTGCAAGGTCCATATTTTTCCTTCCAGAAAGAGACGGTGAACTGTTTTTCCGGAACTTCTGGGTGGTAGAAAAGAGCTGATTGTTTTTTGACTCATGGTCTTTACCCATAACTAAAGATTTAGTCGATGTCTTTGAAAAAGAACTATTGGTAGATCTAGAAATTTGTTTTCTGGCGTTATTTGGAGAGGTCCTGTTTGTCCTGGTTAATGTGCTTTCTTTCTGCTTTTCATTGTGGCGTCTGTTGAATTCATGTATATATTCCTCACAATTAACAAGGTGCTGTTCTGGCTCCCAAGTATCATCTTCACTGTCGTATCCTTTCCATCGCACCAAATACTCTGTTTTTCCCTTCTTGTTTTTCCTCTTGTCAACAATTCTCTCTACCTGTTAAAAAGAAAAATTAAACATTAGGCACGGGCAGATATACAACTCAAGTGAGCAACTTGCATGCACGTAATTGAAGTGTAGTTCTGTAATTCTGTATTGTATCTCTGTAGTTTACAGTCTTCCACTGCTGACCGGAAACTCCTCTCTTCAAACTTCAGATTGTTACTTCCATCTCATAAAATACATTCTAAAATACCAAAATCATTCTTCAGTAAGTATTTTGCATGCACAAGAATCTGAATATGACATATTACAGTTGACAATCAGCGCTGGCCCCAGTGAAGTTCTGACACTAGCTTCAAGGTGGATAGGATGTCCCTCCCTGAATATAGAGTTCATGTTTAAATACGCTGTATAAACACAGGGTGTTTACCTTACAAAACTTATCAATTTGATATTGATTGAATAATTCGCTTGCCTAGCATAAGACATATGCAAGAATCGCTTCCTTACAGTGAGCTATCCTTTAGTTACCAGGGACAATATGGTTCAGTTTAGAAATTTGGGCAAATACACGAGATTTTTTTTTAGAGGCTGTTCTTGTGAAAGCAGAGAACTTGTTTTGGATACACATACTTGATACAAATACACATACTTGAACAAATTACCAAGCTTCACTTATCTACAAATAGAGATTATATTTATGTCACAAGTATTAACCATGCACATACTACAACTGCCCGTGGGACCCACAGGCTAGAGGAATTCAGGCACCAGGGTAAAGCAGAGAGGGCAGGCAGCAGCAGCTGCAGGGACAGGGGCTCATGCCTTATACCAAAACTCATGCCATTCATGCTGGTCCCACAGAAAGGGAATTCTTTCACCAAAAAAAAAAAAACCAAAAAAAAACCCAAACAAAAAAAACCACCCAAAAAAAAAAAATTTCTAAGTGCAAGGCTAGTCTTGGGTTTTCCCCTTTTTATTCAATTTTTCCTATCCAAGCTCCTTCTGGTATATCCTCCAGCCCACTTCATTTCAGTTATGGTACCAATACAGCTTTATTCCCCATTCCCCAAACTATTTTCATTCTCATTATTTCACTTTTTAGTACAGTTACTAGACTTAAAAAACCATGCAACTATAAAAATGCAACTATTATTTTTCCACGAGACTATAGTTACAAACATCTTAACAAAAATGCTACCCCAAATAAGAAAATCATTATGGATAAATATGCCCTCAGATTTTTTTTTAATAGAGACTGAGTAAAAAGAACTTCAAGAATTAAGCCAGAAATGTTAAATTAAAAAATAAAAAACAAGAGTCATCAAACTTGTTATATTGTCCAAAAAGCAGTTACAGCAATAACCTTGCTTATCCTCTCTCCCTCTCTCAACCTTCTAAAATAGACTTTAAGAATATTCTCAGAGAAATATCTCTACTACTAGGAAGATTTTTTTATTTTCTAGCAGGAAATCTAAGTAACAAACAGCGCTGACTACTGTGCACAAAGTTCTACTAACTTCTTTAAATATTGGAAGGCCACCCATTAAGGACATGCCCTTTTCAAGTAGGAAGCCATCCCTCTCATCCAAAAAAACAGATACCTTGCAGAGATAACAGATGAACTCCAGAACAGGAGACGCAAAAATCCATTCCTAACCCGGTGATTTATAGAGCAAACAGAAATTCATAAAGAAAAACATTATATTTAGCTGTATTGTCCAAGCCTGCAACAAAGCCTACTTTGACATACTCTTTTCAATTAAAAGGAGATTTTTCTCCTCACCCTTTAATTATGCATACAGGATTTGAGTGTAGAACCTAAACTAGTGGCTTAAACTCTTTCATGGCAAAACCAGACACTACAAACTTGTACCTCTCTTTGACTACTGAAAAATAAAGTTTGTTCAAGTCATTAATTTCTACTTCGGTATACAGTGGTGACATGACATGAAATACAATTCAAGACACCTTAAAGTCTTATGTTAGAAGATGCTAATGACTTACATACAAATATTAAAATAAAAAAAGGACTATAACTGGGTGGGGAAAAAAGTCTATGTTCCTACTTCCTACACACCAGTTATGGTGCGGTTTGATGATACAGCTAACCTGATGGAACAGCTAGGTACATCCACACAGGCAGTATTGCTTCTCCCCTGCTAGTGTTACCCCAGAGCTGAGAGGGTGCTTTTCTGATCTTGTGCCGAGTTAGTTCAGAGAGTTAAAAACTGGCAGAGTGCCCCTAAACACCAGGGGAAGAGCAAGACCACATCCTTTTGCCATAATCACGCCAGAAATGCTGGCGACTTTTTTTTAATTTCTACAGTGTCCAACGCCTGCTGCCATGCGGTAATATTTATTTTTAGTAATTAAAAGGTTCTGTACTGACAGGATTTGCCAATAATGGTTGGTTTTCAAGTGCTGTAGAAGAATCAAAACAAAATGGAAAGTTATATAAAAAGGAAAGACAGAACAAGTGTGAGGGAAAGTTATCAGGCAAACTATCTAGGTGGCAAAAGATAACATCTCTCAATTTATTTTAGCATGCTAAGTTATCAGTTTCCCCACATGGGGTGCTCATCAATGACACTCAAGAACTCAGCCAGCAGAAAAAATGACAGAAAAACAACGCACTGCTCAGAGGTATAACCCAACAGTGGACTCCCCGAATTATAAACCCACACAGCATAATTGAGATTTTAATCTGAGATTTCCCATCTGTAAAATCGTAAATCTCCCTTCTTTCCATCAACGTGGTGAGAACTGGTTCATGGTTGCTTTCTCTCCCTGAGGAAGCAGATACTTTGATTTTAATTGCTTTTATTAGCAAAATATACCGCATTTACACCTTTTCAAAAGAAAGCGCCAGGTGAAAATGGCAACACTGCAACCACTCCTCCCTGTCCTATGCTCAGAGACAACAGCTCCTCCCCATCTGTCAGCACAACTTCTTGTGCAATTGTCCCCTAATGTTGTTCTGTCAAAGTGACCTGGTTTAGATATTAAGAATACCCAAGCTAATGTAGGCATCCTGAAATAACTGGTTTGGAGAGCAGCCAATGCGGTATTTTCTGACACATCTAAGGGGACTGCAACTTTCAGCAGAGGACAACATGCACCTATGGGCAGGACAGGTACAGTAACCTCTTCATTCTGCTATGGTCTGACAATGGACATGCAATCTTAATCTGTGATGAAAGGTCTTTAGCTCTGGTCAACAAAAGTAAGCATGAAATTCAAAAGGATGTTCTTCGTCTAAAGCACTGTAATTTGGGCACATTTGTAAACTATATAAGGCATATTCTGTGTATGTGTGTACATATATACATATATATATAAATATAATAATTTAACAGAAGATTTGAAGAGACTAACTAAAGGCACAGCTGTCAGGGTGGCAACAAAATGAGCAAAAGAGACATAGGCATGTAAATATTCAATGAGCGCTGCCTTGTTTATCATAAATCCATTTTCCATTTCCATGATGTTCTTCTCTGTCCTCACATTAATGTCAGGCTAAATTAATTTAAAGTTAACAGAATCTATTTGACTTCATACTCTCTCTGTTGCCTGTAAAATATAGAAGGCCCTGTTCTGTTAGCTGAAGGGTATGCTTACTTTACTGCTTTGGTTCAGAGCAATAGTGCAATTTAGAAGCAAATCCTTCTTCCCTCCATACTGTTCCTCTTACTATGCGGTGCTTTTGTTCATAGAACAGTTTTTGTATACGTGATGTGGATTCTTCATGGAGAAATACAAACTGGAAATGGTGTTACTAATGCAATGGTGTTAGCTGTCATGCTTCAACCCCTAAGGGGGTGCACAGGTCCAAGCAAACAACAGCTCTGAACAGTTTCAACACATTTTGTGGTTGTGACATGGATATTAGATCCTGAGAGGCTCCACTAAATCCAGTCCAAAATAAAAGTGCTACACAGCAGAATATGTAGAGGTAGGGGTCACAGCACCAACCGCTTCACTCTACTGATTTTCTCCAGTTGAACCAAATTACTACTGTAGACATTCCCCAGTTCAGAGACTGAATCTAGAATAAATGCAAGTCTTTCACATGTGTGTGCTACATGTGAACAGTCACCCTTGGTTACATTGGAAACTGTTCCATGTACACATGGGACCTAAATGATCATCCATAACCAATCATCAATATTTATGAATTACTACATCTTCTATTTATTAAAATCCTGCAGAAGTCAACGATAAACAGTATTCAAATACTTCTTATTGTAAAAAAAATAAAAGCATTCTACATTAAAAAATGATACTAATACAGCAGCATACAACACATGAAAACAGTTAAGTGCAAAGTTTTGCTTCAAGTACAAGGAGAAAGTAGTTTTGGGAAGACAGTTGTCCACAAACAAGTTTGACAAAGATGGCAAAATACACCTTAAGTTCCCCAAAATGTGCACTAAAATCTTCAATGTGCATATTTTATTAGGAAATACATAATTTCCAATAGTATGACTTAATGCCAGTTCAGAGCATTGCTCACTGCAGTTAGCACCAGCAAGTACTTTTTAAAACCAGCTTAACACACATCTGTTCAGAATACCAAAGCCATAGTATTGTATGGTTTAAGTTCAAATAACATCATTAAAAAATTACACTAGGATATCACAAAAATCCTAGAATTCATCTTCGCTGCAGCTCCAAGTCACTCCATTTGCGTTAGCCCAGGAATGAGCATAAACCTGCCGCCTCATGCTTCCAGAGCTGACTGATTTGATTAGCAGGACAGAGTGATTGGATTAACAGTCGATGAACTGTTGTAAACTGAGCTGCCGCATTCTTATGCCATGACTGGCCAGAGCGTCTATACGGTACAGAACTCTGGCTATGGTGATGACTATATTCCACATATATTGGCAGTGTATGCAGTGAAGTCAGAACACATTTATGTGTATGAACACAAGTCATGTAAAAGGCTAATATACTTCCAGAGGTCCTTTATGCTTGCAGTGCAAAAAAGAGAACTGTAAATCTCAATCTTCCTTCCAAAAATTAAATAACTGTGCTAAAACAAACAGTAAGATCTCTTTTTCCCCAAGCTCTAT